GAATTTTTAAGGGGTTTGCATATGTTGCAGACAAAAAGAGATACTAAGCATGACTCCAAAGCATTCAGCCGAGAAACTGTTAAGATGGAGTTGTCATCAGTTGGAAATGGAGAAGGCTGTGAGTAGAACAGGGTTTGGGGCAAGGACAGAGTTGTCATTCATTGAGAGGTGAAGGAGCATTGAAGAAGCTGATTGAAACATGGTAAGTTTGAGATGCCTATTAGACATTCAAGTAGAGAAGTTGGATATGCAGATACAATTGGGGGGAATGGGAAGGTACTGGCTGCCTCTAGTCACTGAGTTAAACAGGGATAAAAGGCACGACAAGATTAGCTCTGAAGGTCTCAAAGAAGAGTGGCAAATATGAGAAAACCTTTGCTCCTTCATATGTCAGATGAGACTAATAAGATGAAGTGTATATTGAAGGAAATAGCATACATAAAGCAACTAGCCTAATGGCAGAAAATAGCAGGAACTCTCAGCTAAGCAAACATTTCACAGGCTGAAAATTTCCTAAAGGTACTGAATGTTCCTAGGCATCTCTCTTCACATACAGCAATGAGACTGGTACATGTTTAGTACTGAATGCACATATAGTGAAATATCCATAATTATATTTCATTAAATAAATTATTTTATAAAGATTATTGCAGAGATTATTACATTGTAAAACTTCACTTATTAATCTTTATCTCCAAACCTTTGAATAGATACAGAATCATTTTCACTATTTAAACAAACTGAAAAGTAACCAATTCATTTAAATGCATATTACAAGTTCACGTTCCCTTTACTTTGATCTTCTTTTATGTTTTAACTTTCTTAGGGCAAACATGCACGTGAAGAAAAATTGTGCAGAAGTTAGTCATCAAATGTAAGTTTTCTGCTCTGAAAATTATTGTAAATTTAGTAGGCTAGACAGGGATCCAAGACGATGGTGGGATAAAAATTAAGCATGCCATTATTCACGCAATCCCCTTCCCTACTGCTTCTAGCAAAGGACAGAGCCTAAAAATGAAAGTTCATAAATGAACAGAAATACAATTTAATAAAAGCAACATTATTATGAGTGAAAAATAAGTTAAATCA